TACCTAACCAGCTATTTCTTATATATACAGAATAGCAAATGTAGCATTCTCTGATGCCTGTTGTACAGTGGGAGCATTCCTGACAAAAAGACATTTTATTATGCTTTCCAAACATGATTGCAGTGAACCTTTTTTCACATCCTCTCAAGCATGTTAATAGCAAGTGAGCTTTATTAGTACGCAGAATTAAATTCTCAGGAAACATCAGCAGATGTCGTGATCAGTAATGTGTGATCAGTGCTTGACCTTTTGCCCAGCCTGCTGAATTTGATTAAGTACGTACACTATTGATTAGCAAAATAACCATTCTCAAAAAATACATGTAACAGTTCAGTAACACTTCTCTGTTTCAGGCCATATTTGGCTCTGTGCAGATTTATTCACATGTCATAATTTTATTCCTTGTTGCTTTTTAATCTAATCCTACCAGGTTATTGAGGACATAAGCCTTGTTTCAGGAAAAAACGTCACTACACAGAGCGTGCGCTTTTATAATCAGATAGCATTTACAGTATATTAAGTCTAGTAAAACTAATCTAAACCAGCATGAGTTATATTCAGAAAGGGTGAAATTCACCCTGTGCTGAGGGCCAACATAGCTCTGTGCATCACTGGGGTCCACTTAATCTCTTGAGGGAGTATTTGGGATTTATGTGTTGCACAGGCCTTGTGCTGGCTGGATTCTGATCACGAGTGGTCTGCTCATGGAACTCTCTGCTGGTGTAAAGCCTGTAGACACCCATGCAATTCATTCTCCCATCTCCAGTGCACAGGGTATATCGGGAAAGGGAGACAATGGGTCCAACATCACTATGCTGATCTTTAGGGACCTCACCTCAGTAATTCACACCAGTGCTGAGCTGGCACAGAATCATTACTGGCCCAGTCCTTTTTGCTGAGTGGTGCTCAGCTGCAGAGGAGAAGAGAGTCCTATGTATAAACGTACTGCTTGCAAAAAGTACCAGACTGGAAGCTATGGGAAAATAGGGGGAAAATTTGGGGCAATCTGCTCAACATCTTATATGTCTATATAAATATACGAGGAGTATGGGGAACAAGCAGGAAAAACTGGAAGTCTTAGTAAACAAGCACAATTATGATGTAACCGGCATCAGGAATAAATCTCATGAGTAGAATACAGATGCTCCCCGACTTACGCAAGCATTCCAATCTGGAACGCCTTGTGTAACTCGAATTTTGCATAAGTCGGAAACGTATACCCGACCATTATGCAAACAAAACAAAGCAAACTATTTCTAGCTTAGGGAACTTTTTCCATAAGTGTGGGTTTGCGTAACCCGAGGGGCGTCTGTATATATATATAGAGAGAGAGAAGAGAGAGAGAGAGAGGGGTATAGCTTGTTCAGGAAGAACAGGCAGGGTAAAAAAAGGGAGGCCGAGTTGCATCGTACATCAAGAACGTATGCCCTTGTCCTGAGGTACAGAAGGTGAGAGGCAGACCAACAGAAAGCCTCTGTGTGAAGATAAATGAGGGGCAATGTCATGGGAGGGGCTTATTATAGTCTACCAATCAGAATGAGGTGGTGGGTGAGCCATTTCTAGAACAATCAACAGAAATATCCATCACAAGACCTGGTAGTAACAGGGGACTTTAACTACCTAGACACCCGTTAGAAAAGAAATACAGCAAAATACGAAATGTCCAGTAAGTTCTTTCAGTGTATGGGGAACAACTTGTTTTGGAAGGTGGAGAAGAAACCAGGGGTGCAGTCATTTTACACTTTATTTGGAACAGGGAGAAAATTTTTGTGAATCTGAAGGTAGGTGAAAGTGATCTTGAAATGATAGATTTTATTGTTTTGAGGAAAGGATGGAATGATAGCAGCAGAATATGGGCCTTGGACTTCAAAATCTGCTTTTTTTTAAAAAAAAAACTCAGAACAGGTAGATAAGG